GTTGGTTTGGTTTCAATAAGTCTTGAAAGTGATTTGGAATACTTAGTTCTATTTTGGAAGCTTAAGTTGTTAGTGCAATATGACAACATGAATCTATCCCCAGGCTCGAAATACCAAACGGGATCTGATATCACCAAAGTTTGCTCCAAGTCAAAGTTAGCGAATTCAAAAACTTTCAAAATGCCAACTTCCAACAATAAGCACCAAAACGCTTTTGGACCACCCGAAACTCGATCCGAACATACATCCAAGTCCAAAATTACCATACGAACCTATTGGAACCTTCAATTCTGATTCCGATGTCGTTTACTCAAAATGTTGACTTAAGTTAAATTTGGCCACCTTATGCCACTATTATAGAATTAGGTGTTCCGAATTCGACTTGAACCCTTTCAGAACCAAACCAATTTTGCCCCTGCAAGTTATAAAATAGGAAAAACACATACAAGAAGTCTCAAATATGGGAACAAGATACATCAATCTCCAATTGTTCTTGTTCTTTTTGCACCAATCTTTCTCAACAAAGAACAAGAACCTCGAAGAAGAAGATCTATGGAAAAATAATGTTAGGATTGAAGAATGAAAAGAAGAGATTGAATAATAATAATAATAATAATAATAATAATAATAATAATAATAATAATAATAATAATAATAATAATAATAATAATAATAATAATAATAATAATAAGAAGAAGAAGAAGAAGAAGAAGAAGAAGAAGAAGAAGAACTTGAACGGGAATGGAGAATAGGGGTGGGGGGCAGGAATGGGTGCTGGGAGGGTTTCCCATTATTTTTAGAGGGCGTGGGGCCCGTTTAGGGCCTTTGTGATAATTCTAAAACTTTGAATTTTTTTAAAAATTTCTTTTAAATAATAAACACTAACAATGAAAGAGTATTTTTTTTTTTTACATCAATCTTTACATTTTTGTCTTAAAAATTGATGTAAGTTTTCAAAAGTCTAAAAAATTTAGAACCCCCGGGATTGTTCTAGTTCAGGCTCGAGATTTAAGAAGAAATTAAATATTTTAAAACTTGTCTTTTGAGATGCCAAAATATTTGTACATTTATAAAAAATTTAAAACATGTAATCTTAAATCTGTCGTAACAATTATATGACTAAAAGAACTTCTCATTAGAGAAAAATAAAATATGTCGTTCTTTCTTAAACAGATTAACAAAAAAAATATCAAGTTTGTACTATAAAGCAAAAGGGGAGATGCTTAAAAAGTAAACAATATTCTTGTCACGCCTCGAAACTGGATTGGGAATTGATGGCATTCAATCTACCTATCCATTAAGCGGATCTTGATCTAAATAGCGGAACATGATGCTTAGTTTATTAAAATAGGCATAATATGAATATGTCTCATATCATAAGTATTTAAAAACGGTTAACTAAAGTTTAGAAAAGAATATTTGAAAGCTAACCTACCAATGATAGTCATGAGCCTCTGAGTAATAAAACTAAGAACTTTGTCTTCGGTGCATCCCCATGGAGTGAAATAAATGAAAGTCAAAAAGCAGTCAACTATCACTGGAAGGAATGAACAGAGTCTATTTATTAGATCCACAAGAAATTTGACAACCCCTAAATAGAGGACAAGACTGGCATGGACTATACATTAAGTTGCAATAAGTAGAGCAAACAATTTACATAACTGCTTATTAAATAATTTGAAAGTTGAAACTGATTTTGAGAACTGAACTTAAAACTGAAAGCTAAAACTGAAACTAATTCATGAAATCTAAGGTGTGCATTAAATATGAATTTAGCTGAATTTACTTATTTCGAAGATCATGTCTGACAAAGAGTGGCACCTGCAAGTGTGAGGATGATTTTCCCATACCTCGGCCTTAGAGACTTTTAAACTCGTGGAGGTTGGTCACGTTTCCCAAATAAATAAGTCTAAACAATCAATGGCACCTGTAAGTGTGAGGATGGTTGTCCCATTCCACGGCCCTGGCGGCTTTTAAACTCGAGAAAGTGAACCATATTTTTCCTTTCTTAAGCTGGATCTAAACGTGGAGCACCTACAAGTGCAGGGTAACTAACCTTGACAACTACGCAACTTACATCCAGGAAGGTTGGCTACTTCTCACATACAGTATGTGATCACATTTATCTAATCTGAGCTGCAACTAAATGAATGCAAGTAATGGCATAACTTCAATCGCGTTAAAAGCTCACATTAGGCGTTGAAAAATGATCTTGGGTCGATTTGAATAGAACAAATCATAAGTACTTGTGGTGTCACGAATGAGAAAAAAACATGTTTTTTAACCTTTTATAGGCCTGGGGTAAACTGTTTCCACAGTTTGGATCCGTGGCCACAGTTGGCCTGGTCCCTTAGGCCTTTTTTCGAAGCCACAAGCTGAAGTTTGCCACGGTTCAAACATGGCCACGGTCGGCCGCCATGGTTTGAACTGTTGGCCATTGTTGGCTCGGGGGTCAGGTTACTACTCTGCTACCCTTCAGCAAAAAGGTCATAACTTTTTTGTAGGAATGTCGGAATAACAAACAGTTTGAAGTTTTCGAAACTAGACTCAGAGAGCTTTCATTTGGTATAGGCTCATAGCTCAATTCATTACACATTAGAATATGTGATCCTTTAAATTTGAGACATGTGTGACCATGTTCGCTTTCTTCTCTTGAACAAATTTCAATTTATTCCATCACACCTCTTACCTCTTCCAAATAAGGGTGTTCGTCAGTCAGTACAATACGGCACAATAATTAGTCATTTCGGTTTGGTATTTTCGATATTTTCGGTATTTGATCTCTTAAAATGCTACACCAATACTATACTTAATTACATTCGGTATGGTTCAACTTTTCTCCTTCCTGTTTCAGTTCATTCGGTTCGGTAATTTCTGTTTATTCGGCTTGAATATTAAGTAGTGCATAGAGTCATAGAGTGTAATATTCTTAATTAAAGTACTCAACAGAAACGTTCTAAACTCACCTGACTGTTGACAAAATCTTTGTCCAATACCATCAAGTATCAACTAAGAGAAAAAAGGTAGATAAAGGAATACATTTAATCATTGAAAATATCATGGTACTTGCTTAGAGTTAGTTGTTGAAATTAGAGAATACAACAAGGACTAATCCAACATATGCAACAACAATACAAGAGTAACGGAGAAAGAAATACCTCAAAATTGTTGAAATATTAATTTAAACTGCTTGACAACCTAGAGAGTAAGAATTAAACTCTGCATCCTACCTTGTTCCATTTTCCTAAAAAAGTACATTGCTTTTACCGTCAACCTCAACATGAACGCTAAAGAAAAGTATTGTGTAACTTAGTATGTTGATCAATAATATCTATAATGTGTAATTTAGTTTATATTTTTTTAGAGTATTGGCATTTCTGTATTATTTTTTAAAATATCAAATACCATATCTAATACCAAATTATTTTAAAAACTTAAATCAAATACTACCAAATAGGGGTGTACAAAGGAAACCAACAAACCCTATCAACCCGATAATTCAAGTCAAACCGAGAAAAAAAACCTGACTATGGTTTGGTTTGATTTGGTTTGGTGTTGGAAAGAAAATCCGACCATAATTGGTTTGGTTTGGTTTTAACTAAAGAAAGTCAAACCGAAACCAAACCAACCCGACACTATATATATAGAAATTTCAGATATATTTAATATATAAATATACTTATTGTGATGTAATATATAAATATTTTTTTAAAAATTTCATAATTTTATCTTTTAAGGTATTATTTCAAGGTTGGACTTAGAACTTTTGAATGCTTAGCCATTAATATTAGTAAATTAAATAATGCTAACAAAAGCCAAACCAAAATCAAATCAATATTAATGCTAACAAAAGACATTCAATTTAATATTATGAACGGGAATGTATTGAATATCTATTTTTATTTTGCAATAATTTAGATAAAATGCATAACCTATTTTTATTTTTCTTTAGCGTTTAGCCATGTAATTAATACTCCCTTGTTAGTCTATGTATTTTAGCATGATTATGTATTTTTATTATGGCTTTTTAATTAGCAATATTTATATTACATAATTTTATTGTCTTTATTGTTGAATATTTTAGGATAATGCCATGACACATCTCATATTTTGTATTATTTTCTTGAAAAATACTTCATATAGTTGTATCTTACTAGGATTAAAGAAATATTTTGAGCATACGTTATATGTTTTGTTCTAAGAAGATTTTACCGGGAAAAAAAAACCCGAAAAAATCCCAATAACCCGAAAACCCGAGAAAAATCGAGAATGAAAAACTCGAGCTTTATTGGTTTGGTTTGGTCTTTAGATTTAGTAACCCAACACAATTGGTTTGATTTGGTAATTGTAAAATCCGAACCAACCCAGCCTATGTACACCCCTAATACCAAATACCAAAATACCACATACCAAAATATTGATTTTGATACAGTAATTCGATATTCGATATTTACCATATAATGCACAGCCCTACTTCCAAACATTCATACTACCTTCGAAACATAATACTTAGATATTATACACCTTCAAAACGTTCTGAATACCATTGTGTCCAACTTAAAGCATGAACAAGAACGTAGCTAAAACTTTTCTGATTCAGACTAACAAGGCTTTTAACTCAAGGGGATGAAGTTACCACTCTTACTTCACGTCTTCTTAATCGTTTATCACGACTAACGTGAATGAAATAGTGAAATTATAGTAATTATTTTCATTTACTCCATCACATGAAATTTGGACATTATTCAGTATTATCAAGGTCGTCCAATGTAATACCTTTCAGTATCAAAATGAAAATCTGAATGAAGAAGAATAATTGACACAAACAAAACATTTGGTCTTTCAATCATCGCAGAAGGAAATGCAAAGAGCTTGATTATTAGTAAAACTTTATATAATCTTAAGTTAACTCTTACATCAACCAAGTCATAATTCTATGTTCCTTACAGTGACTTGCCCTTGGCCTGAGATTCTATGAGTGAAAAATGGAAGTGTAGAAATAGAGAAGAGGTACACAACTTCCTTTTACAGTCGTTAACGATATACAAATGATACAGGAGTTACATATTCAAATTATGGGAACAAAGCGTCTTAATGATATCATTAGACTTGAAACAAATTTTCAGTAACTGAAAGAAAAGAAGAAGGGACCAAAGTTTTCTACAGTACAGAACTAGTAATAGTATCTATTCTGTTGGTAACCATACTGCTGTTGATGATCCGACTCTGGAGTGAAATTGTGTGATTCCAAGTTACTCCTTAGGCGCCAGCCTTCAGGTTCCTTCAGAAACTGATTTGACTCTATATAGTTGCGGATATTCACAATCACCTTGTTCAACTTTGCATCACCTCGATCTTTCAATGCAGTTAGAAAATCTTTAGCAATGACGTCCAACATCTTTCTGAATTGTGTCTTGTATCTTTTGTGTAGAGCAAAGCCTGCCATCTGGGTAACCAAGACATTTTCTTTTAACTCCAACCCCATTTCATTAACATAAAAGGGACTGAGAAAGAGCTTCAACTTACTTCAAGAAAAGCCTGCAAGGCAGCTGCAGTATATAAATTTGCTGGGAGAACATTTAAGAATCTGGCTATCCATGCCCAACCTTCTCTGAGGCCATGCAAGTTTTGGCAGCCTTCAACTTCAGTCTGCCCAAAATGCAGTTTACTACTAAATCAGTTACTATACAAATGAAGGAAAAAAAAACAATTTTGGTCCCTGAATTATTTTGTTATTTTATTTTTTGTCCTTGTATTATTTGGCTGAGCAAATCTGACCTCCAATTAAACAAATTGTGCAGTTCTAGTATCACAAAATAAATATAACAGGATGTCATATTCAACTAACAAATATTAGTTTGGGATTCTGTCACTTCTCCATCGAACTCAGGCCAAAGGAGCTCTGCACCAAGAACTCCCTTAACAAAATTCCTATACGTGGAATAACAAATATTAGTTTGGGCAAGCACAATCATATGGCATTGATCATTTCTGGCAGCTTCACAACCTGTAGTACTGGTAACTAATATTGCAAAAAGGACATCTTGTCTAGAATGTTTCCGGCTCTGCTGATGAAGTTGGTTCTGTTTGTGGACAATGATTCAGATACTGAACTGAATGCTAAACCATTTGAAATATTGTTTTGTCAAACTGAAGGATTTCGAATAACCTGCTGAGATAGTGGCTTTGCTGCTGTAACCTCGGATAAAATTCAGCATTTTTATCATACAAAGCCCATTTTACTTCCCCAACCTAACATGAAAGCCGCTTCTGCACTGAAGGCTCTTGTTTGGATGGAGCACAAGTCTCCAATATTGATGTCTAATGGTGACTTTATCAACCTGAGGGGTCCATTGCAATCTTTTTTAATCCCACTCCACTGCTCTGAGCTAGAAAATGAACACTGGAGACAAGTAGTTGAGATATGTTCTATAGTTGAAGGAAAAGTCCTTCAGATTTCAACGCAACCTCTTGAGTCCCTTCAAAGTCATTCTTCTGCATTTTCTTCTCGCAGAGCTCTTTAGCCCTTAGGGCTTCATTTGTTGCACCCCATCACAAATTGCAATCAATGTTAACCAGTAAGATACACCAGACATGCATACAAAAGTCACCAACTTATATTCGTCATGCTCAATTCTGTGTTCCTTATACCTGGGAGCGAGTGACGAAGATGGGTTTATCACACTGGCGATGGCTTCTTATTGAACATAGAATATCAATTAAGCACTAATCCACTCCAAATATCCTGTAGGTGGAAATGCCAACATAGTTTCCATTTTGAAGGGCAGACACATTCTCTAAGACAAAAGGATCTCTATTTGCATGCTTTAAAGGGAACATTAGAAGGGGAACCTTGGAGCAACGGTAAAGTTGTCTCCGTGTGACCTATAGGTCACGGGTTTAAGCCGTGGAAGCAGCCACTAATGCTTGCATTAGGGTAGGCTGTCTTCCCCAGACCCTGCGTGAATGCAGGATGCTTTGTGCATCGGGCTGCCCCTTTCTAAAGGGAACCTAACAAGAAGTAGAAGTAAACCACAACTCAAAAAGATGATGGGCACGAATTATGATGATTATATGTATATTTGGTATTCCCTTTATTTTCAAGTTGAAATCATCAATGGATAGAAACTGCTAATGTTGGTGCTAACTGAGAGAGGAAGAATGGCCAGTTTGATGGAGAAATAACTGCGATGTCCGTCGGCAGAAGATAACATCTGTTAGTTTCAATGAGTGATTGGACCAAAATCGCACATTTGTTAAATTGAAGGTAGGATATACTCATGCAAATAATGCAGGGACTAAAACCTGAATAAAGCAAAACTCAGAGACCAAAACCACTATTTTCCCGAAAGAGTAAGATAGACGAGAGTGTCAGCAACACAGGCATTAAGGATTCTTGAGGATAAAAGTAACAAATGTCTAAGCAACTGACCTGAACAAGAGCACCATATAACTTCATGTATGCACTTAAGCGATCCACATAACTATCAGTACTTTCTATCTTCCCATCTTCCTCTGTGTAGCCAATAGCTTTGTAATAAGCTTCTTTTGTCTGAAATGCTGCCTGAAGTGAAAGAACACATCAAAGTTAATTTTCGTGGAGGTAGCATAATACGATGTGAATATGGGATGAAGGTTAACTAATGTCTGCGACAAGTTCTTTTCTCACCACTTAATTGAAGAAATATCATGCTCCAAGACAATCAAGTAAAAAGAATCCCACAAAAAGACAATAATGAGATGTGCAGATGCCAAACAGGTAATACTAAGGTAAATAAGAAGTACCTCTGAGTAAATAATGTACTTAGGAACTGCGTAAATGCAAACTTTATTCAACTCGCCTATGAGAATATCCATGGCAAGAGGGACCTGTGATGAAAAGCAAACCAATATGTAAGGATGGTTATGACGACCCGACAGGTCGTTTTGAGTACTAGCCTTTATTTCTGTATTCTGAGACCTCTCATAGCTTCATTTGATGTTATATAACTTGCGTGCGTGATCCGTGTTGTTTTTCGAAAAAATTTTATGTGAAATTTTGAAGAAAATGTGATTTTTGACTTAAAATGAGGCTAGAGTTGACCACGGTCAACGTTTTTGGTAAACAACTCCGGTTCGGTGTCATGACGATTCCGGTAGGTTCGTATAATATTTTTAGACTTGTACGCATGTTTGGTTGGGGTTTCGGGTGACTCGAGGGCATTTCGGCGCATTACGTGAAAGTTGGAAAAAAATTGAGTTTCAAGGTTGAAATCTTGAGTTTTGATGATCGATTCTCGATATTTGATGTTGTTTTGATGATTAGAGTGAGCAAGCGAGTTTATAGGATGTTATTATACTTGTGTGCCTGTTCGGATTGGAGCCCGAGAGGCTCGTGTGAGTTTCGGATGAGTTTTGGTTGATGGAACTGTTGGTGCAAGTCTGTTGCTGGTGTGAGTTGCAGGTATCGCATTTGCGAAAACCTGATCGCAATTGTGAGCCTCGCATTTGCGATTTCAGGCTCGCAAATGCGAAGTGGGGGCTGATTTCGCTTTTGCGAAGAAGTCATCGCATTTGTGATCCGGAGATGGTTCGCATTTGCATCCATTTTGTCGCTTTTGCGATGGCTGGGATTCTTGGACTGCTTCGCAAATGCAAAGCTTGCACCGCATTTGCAATGGTTGGGGACTTCGCAAATGCAAGGTCTATGTCGCATTTGTGACTTCTGAGGGACTGTGGCACTGTTCGCATTTACGAAGAATTGTGATACCTGCAGTTGGGTAAAAGTGGGGAATTTCGGGACTTAGCTCATTTTACACCATTTTTCAACCCTAAACTTTCTAGAGGCGATTTTTGAAGAGGATTTTCTCCCCAAAGAGGATTCGTTGCTCCTTTTGGAAATAGGTTTACTTTATGATTCTTTATTTACTGCACCGTCTATTTCCCATATACTTGCGCCTATCCCGTTGTTTCATTTGACTTTTTACTTTTTATACCTTTATATATATATATATATATATATATATAGAAAATTGCACGGGTTTATTGTAGGTGTCTTGTCTTAGCCTCGACACTACTTCGTCGAGGTTAGGCTCGACACTTATGGAGTACATTGGGTCGGTTGAACTCATACTACACTTCTGCACTTCTTGTGCAAATCCTGACATCGGTACCAACGGAGCCCCGAAAGGTGCTAAGCCGATACTGTGTTTGTAATTCGAGGTAGAGCTGCATCCCGTCCGCTGGCCTTGAGTCATTATCTTAGCTCTATTGTATTGTTTCCACTTTATCCGGACAGTGTTGCATTTCTTTCATAAACTTGTATTTAGTTGGATCTAGAAGCTCATGTACATGTGACACCAAATCTTGGGGTGGTTTACGTTAGTTATTGGTTATAGAACTTTTTTATGTTATCACAGAGCTGTTTTTACATTATGGTATTGATCAGTTGTCAGATATTTATTGCTTTTCTTTTCGTATTATCTGTTATGTTGGCTTGCCTTGCGAGCGGTGTTAGGCGCCATCACAGCCCTGATTGGTTGGGATTCTGGGTCGTGACAATGGTAATCTACATTAGTTAGTACTTTCTGATCATATTCATGATCCCTTTTCATACACTAAGTCTCCTGTCCTAAATTAAACCTTTTATGTTGTTTAACAATCCTAGAGCCCTTCTCGTGCTATCAATACAACCTCTAGATTTCCCTTCATCAGAAATTCCTGACATCTATTTTAAATTCGAAGGTATTCCCCATTTTTTCCAGCAATTCACATTTTGGGCTCAGGTCTGGATATTGCGTTTGGATAGAAAACAAATTATTTTTGGTGGTTTTAGAAAATTTAGATTCGGGTTTGTGTTTGGATATGGCTTTTGGTAAAAGATATCACAAAATCCCTAAGCAATTTTTTAGGCCTTCAAATGGGTGAAAATTGGTTGAAGAGAAACAACAAATATTCTGTTGAAGAAAAAATAAAGGGGGAGTCTAAAGTGTTAAGTGGAGATGTAACCAGTACTTAACCAATCACTTTAGCAGCGGAGAGGCTTGCCTGACAATTTGAGACCCCAATTTGTTTTGGTTGTGGAGAACAAGGTTAGGTTAGAAAGTTTGGTATAAGAAACAAGGACCCTCAATGTGAAGTCAAAACGTGACACTCAATCTGGAACTGAGCATGACTAGGTTTAGATGAAAGCATAATGGTTTTTTACTGATTAGTGAAGGAACAAAAATGCTTTAACTGCTTTCTTTTCAGTTATTGACGTCAATCTCCTGATTATAAAACAACAAGAACTAATATTGAACTATAATAGCAAGAGGACCAGAACAACACCATAATTACCTTTGAAGTAACAAGGACAATTACACGACCATACGCATAGACAGCACTGTTAAAGCTTCCTGTAGGGTTCACACACAGCGACACAACCTATAAAATTGAAAGCCAGAACCACAGTCAATATCCTTATATTTTTGGGCAAAGCTCCAATAGTAGAATATATTCAATATACACTAATCAACTGCTGCATCAAGAACCACAATTTTCTACAAGCATAAACATATGCAAACTCCAAACTCCCAACATCCGCCCCCGTTCATGCCCCTCCCGAAAGAGAAAAGGAAAAAGAGAAGAAGTAAAAACAATGACATCATAAGAGACACCGAAAGAAAAAATCCCCGTTGAAGTACTTCAGGATTTTACCTTCTGTGCAAACATGGCAATGCTGATGGATTGTGGACATGTTGAATCACTGATAAGCTTAATTAATTCATCTGCTTTCACTCTGCAAAAGGAAAAGTAACATACATGTATCAAACAGCAATATAATTCTTGCACCTCGTGAAGTTTATTCCCAAAAGTGGTTCAAAAATATAGGTCAAAGCAACTAAATACGTGACTTAAATATGGGAGGTAGAAAATGGTTTCAACAAGAAAAACCATTAAAGCTACAGGAGATAGGGCTAATAATCTAAGAGATGAGTATCCAGGTACCTGACATTTTCTTTTGTACCAGTTATAGTTCGGATTCTTCTGGCTATTTCCATTTCATATTTTCGGCAAGCCTGTTAAGAACGAATTTGTGTTAAACTATAGAATATCAGAAGTACCCCAAATCTGGATTGTGGGGTAGTAGTAATAGTAGTTGTTGTATAAAAACATCAGAAATTACTTAACCCAAATTAACATCCTTAGGATCTCAAATAGAACTCTGGACCTCTGTACGCCAAGATGGAATATAATAATTCAAAATGCATCTGATGACATTCCAACTAAACAAGCAACTATTCTGTTTCTTTTATTAAAAAATGACCACACTAGCCAGAAGGTGCAAGTAGCACGCATTTAGGATAAAATGAGAGAAGATCACTTGAGATGTTACGGTGATGTCCTTCGTCGACCTACAGATGCAGCGGTCCATAGGTGTGAAACTATGGGGAGTGAAGGTGTTAAAAAGGGGACGAGGTAGACCTAGAATCACAAGGAGGGAAGTTGTCTTGAAAGACCTACAATTACCTGGAATCAATCAAGATTTGGCTAAAGATAGGGCACAATGGAAGAAAAAGATCCATATATGTGATATTTACTACTTGGGAACAAGTTTTAGTCTTGTTAGTACGCCGATTTTGGACCTATTGCTTTACTAGGAATATTTTGACCTTATCATAGATTTCTATGCCAGTAAGAAATATTGTTGTCGAGTCGAGGGATTTGAGACAAAAGCTTTTATAAGAAGGCAAATCATGGACGCGACTCTCATTGGTTCATTGCTAATGAATGTTTTAGATTCTAATTCTAGAAAGAAAAGCAACAACCAGTGTATTGATGCAAGTTAGACATTGAGAAAGCTTATGATATGTCAATTGGAACTTTCTGATGAACATGCTTGAGGATTTGGGATTTGGTAGAAGATGGATCATGTGGATTTCCTTTTGCATCAGTACAGTTAGATATTCCGACCTTGTTAATGGGAAACCAGTGGGTTTTTTTTTTTTTTTGCAGCTCAAAGAGGCATACGACATGGAGATCCTCTTTCTCCTTTCTTATTTTTACTGGTGATGGAATGTTTTAGTAAATGTTGTCTGTTACATATGTGAATCGAGGGATAGGAGGATTCAGAGTCAAAATAGTAACCAAAATGCCATGGAAATATCACATTTATTGTAAGCTGATGATACTATGTTGTGTGATGCGGAGATTGAGCAACTTAGGCATCTGCGGCTCAAATTTGTATATTTTGAAGCAATTTATGGCCTTCATGTTAACTGGAGAATAAGCTTTTCATATCCAGTTAATGTCATCACAAATTGCAGCAGAACTACTGGAACTTTAGGATGTCAGGTTGGCACTCGGCCAACAGTCTATTTGGGATTGCCTTTAGGGGCCAAGCATAGAGCTAATAGTATATGGGAAGAGGTCTTGGAGAAATGTGAAAGAAGGCTAGTAAGCTGGATGAAGCAGTATTTATCAAAGAAGGAAGATTGGTATTAGTTAACAGTGTGCTGGGCTCAACATATGTGATGTCTCTTTTCTCTTTGCCTACTAAGATTGAGAAAAGAATTGACAAGCTACCGAGGAACTTTATTTGGCAAGGTAATAAAGAAAAGGGCAGCCCGGTGCACTAAGCTCCCGCTATGCGCAAGGTCCCGGGAAGGGCCGGACCACAAGGGTCTATTGTACGCAGCATTACCTTGCATTTCTGCAAGAGGTTGTTTCCATGGCTCGAACTTGTGACCTCCTGGTTCTTTACTTTAGTGAAATGGAACCTATCGAGGCTAAGGAAAATGGTGGACTGAGGATGAAAACCTCAGAAAACACAATAAAAGCTTGTTGATGAAGTGGCTATGGAGATATAACTCGGAGGTTGATGCCCTTTGAGTTGGTGTGATTAAGAATAAAAATGGAGTTGAGTATCAATGGTGCAGCAGATAAGTAAAAGCTGCATATAAAGTCTCAATTTGGAGAATAATTCGAGCTCACTGCTCTTGTTTCACATCTAGAATAGGCTTCAAGGTGGGCAATGGGATGAGGATATCCTTCTGGAAGGATATGTGGATTGGAAATGAGCCTTTATTAGACTTATTTCCTGATCTATTTTTATTGGCAGCAAATGTTTCAGCTTTTGTGGCAGAAAATAGAGAAAATGGGACTCGGAATACAATCTTCAGAAAGAGATTCAATGACTGGGAGATCGACAGTGCTACAAAATTTTACAACCACTAAAGCACATTCAAACAGCTTACTGATTCAGAAGATGGTATCACAACAGTAAAGGAATTTTACTCTGTCTTCTTGGAAGCAAATCTGGAATACAAAAGCCCCTCTCAAGGTAGCTTGTTTTACCTGGATAGTGAGCAAAGAAGCTTGTCTTACTTACAAGAATTTATTACTATTATTTATATGTACTTAACTTATTTTTCACTCTTATATTTCACTTTTATTTTTATTTGGTATGATGATGACATGAGTTGAGCTTAAATGGAGAAACATGGTCAGTGAGGATTCATATAACCAACCTCAACTTGTTTGGGACTGAGACATAGTTGTTTTTTGTTGTTTATTTCAGCTAAAAAAAGACTCAAATGAACTTATCAAAATGTCTCAATAACTTTTTCAAACATGCAAGGATCGCATAGTTAAATGTAAGCAGTTTCATGAACTTGGAACTGCAACTCCCAAAACACAATTGGATGGGTAAATGATTATGTTAGTAGGGAAAGAGTTAACTTTCAAAAGTCATTACTTCCTGTGTCACATGAAATGTGAGACAACTTTCTTCACCAACCACAGAGTTTAAGATGTTAATTTGACTTTTTTTTTAATGTATTAGTAGTGGTGAAAGAAAAATATAAAAACAGTTGTTGAAAGATTAGTCTGATATTGCAAAAACACATCAATGCATATAGTTAAATGGCTTTTAACTCTAGCAACTGTGCAAGTCAAATAGAATAACAGTATTAATAAAATGGTGTCAAACATTTGGGATATCCAAATGGAAGAATGCCACATAAATTAGGATAGAGGGAGTAACTGTTTAGGAACCCCCATTCCCGAGCCTCTGCATAGAACACTTTACTTTATGCAGCAAGAAGCCTAATCTGCAATGAAATTTCAAATATTGTTTTGCAAGGTTACCTTATTAGAACCCGATCCCAGTGCTTCATTCTGGGAAGCTATTTCATTGTAAATCATCAATCTTTTCTCCTCCAGCTTTTGAGCATTTTCTGACGCCCTGATTGTATTTCCTGCTATATCCAAAATTGCAAACTTGAAATGTTTCATCTTGCCACTTGGAGGTTGGCGTATCATACACTATTTGATAAAAAGAAATCATCCAGTAAAAGTAGTAAAAGTTTTGACAATAACTTTTTATATTTAGAATATAAAGGAAAAACCAGAATAGTCCTTTAAATATAGGGTAGCTCTAACTTGGTCTTTTATATATTTCATTGAGCATGAACACTCCTTTATCTTTGTAATTAGTGACCACCTTTAGTCCAGGTTAGTCTCAAGAGCATTCACTAACAGAAAAGATTCACCTAAGGCGGAAAAAAACTAACTGGACTAAAGGAACTAACGGGAGAAGAGACAACACTAATGGAACAGAAAGAAACCGCAAGTATTAACTTATGGAAATTTGCTTACCAGTAGACGAAGTTTGAAGCTAACGAATTATGTTTCTCTGTTCTATTTTTTTTTTTTTTTTTTTGATGGATAATTCTCTGTTCTATCTAACCAAATCATATTTAATTCTAAGCAAAGCATATCTATTAGCAAATTATGACTAGTGCATGCATATTAAATGTTTGTCTCAGTATACTATTATTATTGATGGTAGAAAAACCTTTTCCAAGCAAAGAAAGAGATGGACTCTTACCTAATCAAATTCGAACTCAGAAATATTCAATCCCAGGAGGAAACTATTAAAGCTGGATTCTTGATATTTCTTTCATTAATGGTGCTTCTTTTGTTTCTGAAATTTTCTATAAAAAAAAAAATGTGTATGCGTACATGGTATACACATCTAATAAATACCTGGTATCTAATACACAATCTAAACCAGATTCTTTAATTTGGAAAAGGGGTGCCAAGGGGAGATTCAAGGTTAAAGCTTTCCATCAGCTTTTAAGGTCTTCTGTTGGCAGCATACCCAAGTCGCCATGGAAATGCATCTGGAGAAACAAAGCAACCCTAAAGGTGGAATATTTCACATGGCTGGTAGCACATGGTGGATGCCTAACTCATGAGAATCTCCAGAAAAGAGGACTTCATATATGCAGTAGGTGCCCATTGTACGAGAGAGAAAATGAGGATGTTAACCACCTCTCCATTAATTGCTCATTCACCATGCAGATCTGGCATATCATTCTTAACATAGTAGGAATCAGCTGGACAATGCCTGAGACAACCATAGCGCTACTACATAGCCGGTATATGGAAGGGCTGGAAAAGGATAAGCTGAACACTGGAACTCACCGCCTTCAGTCATCTGGTGGATCATTTGGAAGGAAAGGACCACTAGAATTTTTTAAAGCAAAAAAAAAAACAATCTGTAATTAGTATTAAGTATAAATGCATTTCTTTACTGTTCTTTTGGTGTAATATGGCAAGTGCAAATGAACAACAATCATGTTTGACTTTTTGAGCTCATTACACAATATGTAATGTGGCTGTTCCTTGTAAATATTTGCAGTACTTTGCTGCCAATTAAGTGTTTACCAATCAAAAAAGAATCCGTGAACAGAATCACAGATATATTTTGCATAGAGATGAAGACAGGAACATATTTACTAGTCAAATGATCGGGTTACTGGTAAGAATATTTTCTCTTTTTTCGGATACCTCTATGCTTTACTCAACCTAAGAAACTAAGGGAAATTCGTTTTATAGCTGGCCAAGCTTCTAAAATCAGCTTATTTTGAGAAGCGCTTTTCCCAAAAGTACTTTTGGTGAGAAGCAGTTTGTATTTGGATACTTAATTTGAAAAACACTGTTGACCAGCAATTAGTATTTGGCCAAGCTTTTAAAAAGTGTTTCTAAGTGTATTTTTCTCAAAAGTGCCTTTCAAAAAAGTGCTTAGGGGGAGAAGCTACTTTTTTCTGTTTCTCAAAAACTGCTTCAGCTTCCACTCAAAACCATTTTTTTCCTCCTAAAAATTTGCTCAAATACCTTAAATTTGGGGAAAAAGCACTTTTGGCCCCAAAAAAAGCACTTTTGGCCAAAAAGAAGCTTGGTCAAACATGCTATTATTCAATCTGCAGTAGCAACTACAGAACATTAATCCAGAATAAAGATTGACATTTTGCTCTGAAAGATGAAATACAAGACGAGAAAGGCAACATTAGTGAAATGATATCCATGTTTCTCCCTTCGAACCGATTTATTAGACTTGTGACGAAAAATAAGTTTCATCTCCGCTTCATCATGCACTTCCTCGGCATTGGTTCTCATAAACCAGTACACCGCAATTGCATGGTCCTTGGCCACAAAGAAGTTTCACAGCTTTGAAGGTGACTTGTAAAAAGCCAATGGTTCGTCAGACACATAAATACTGATCAGTCACCCGCTTAATATTTAGGTAATTCTCAAGACTCCATTCCCCAAGTTCGCCTCTAAAACCACTATGTTTTGTTACCACCCCACATCCCCCAATGGAGGCTGTCAAAAGCATGGTTGTGAACAGTTGACCCAGATAATCCCAGGTAAGAATATTTTCATGAGTATATTTTCCAGGAATATTTCTTGGAGAGAGTTTTATTTTCAGAGTTACTCTCTTTTCCAAAGGCCTAGTTCCCAGCGTCAGTGAATAGCCTGCAATCTACCCCTAGATCAAAAGTGCTAACTTTTTACAAAGATGAAGGATTGTTTATGTCCAACTTTGAATATAAGGGATCAAAACAAATCTACCCTTAGGGCTTATATTCCTTCTAGGGTTTTTCCTCTTAGATTATGCACAGCGCATTTTTTGACCAGGTAAGGTAGTTTAAAAATCAGGACCATATCTCGATTTGCATGTGTCATCCTTGTGCAGGGGCCATCATGCTAATCTTCTCTGTGTCGTTCCAATTTTATCGGATGTCTCTGAAGGGACATGCACAGAGCATTTTATTTTAAGTTATTAGTTATTTGAAATGAAATGCCTAATATATAAAAAGAAAAAGAGGAGTAGGAGGAAGGTCAAATCTCCATCTCCACTCCCTCACTAAGATTACACAGTGAGACATACCTGCTGAATGTTTATGACTAGTGACATCCTTTGGAACCTTGTTAGCCTCCGAAGGAGCATTCATCAATGACTCAGATGCCTTCTCCGCAGCAGCTGCAGCTTCTTTTGCTGCTTTCCTCTCAGCTTCCAGAGCTGCGGCTTTTTCCTTTTCAACTCTTTCAGCTTCCAGCCTAGCCTGCACCTGATGAAATAAAACTTATTATTACCCACAAGGAGAAAATTCAATCACAAACAACAATTTTGTAATAGATGCAGCATGAGGGAGACAAATAGACAGCTAGATTTCACAGGAAAGCAGGGATGCTAGAACCAGGGAATGTGAGCATTAGCACTTGCAGAAGTATGCCACAGAGAAGGAAAAAAAGCACAATTACTTCCTCGTTTGATGATGATTCTCACAAATAGCTAACTTTGTATAATCTCTAAAAATCACAAAATGGCAGGTGACCAGAAATGCAATTGGATAAATATAGCTTTCTAAACATTTTTCTCCTTGAAGAAACTTTTCTACTAAGCATATGAGAGAATTTCCAATGAGCATATCAAATTGTGTGTCTCTCTCGATAGGAGTAAAACACATACCTTGGCTTCTGCTCTGATCATTTCTTGCCGGGCTTTTTCTTCTTGAAGAGCTTTTTCTTTCCTCTTGGCTTCTTCACGAGCTGCATCATCTCTTATTCTCCTTTCTTCAATTTGGGATCTGTGTTCGTGATCCCTTTGTACAGCAGTTAGGTGATCATCAAGTGCTTCTGCACTACAGTAATACAATTGAAGTCAAAAGTATATTTTTACAAAAATTAATCTGTAGGAAAATGCAAATGGTGATTAAACTTCAAATTCTGGGTACTCCGAGCATGTATAGAGTGAACAAGAAACATTAACAAAAATTTAATATTTGTCAGTCGCAAAGTTTTTTTATTGAGACCAAGGGCATGCATGTTGTTTGAATCAGAAAATAGTCATTTGCAATCAAAGTGACATGAATTCCTGTTGGTGTCCCTTCTATACAGTAACTCAGTCGCTGCCCATACCCCTGAATCTGTTTTACACCTTCATCTGTAATTCATGTCAACAAGAAATGATGAACAAATCACCCTATTCGCTTTCATTCCCAACCTAAATAACATTAGTGGTTTATGATCAATTGTCTATCTAACATCCTTAGTGAATTTTTTTGCAAGTGAATTCCTCACAAACCAGCTCCCATTTAAGTAATTGAGATTTGATTGGCATGTCTTCAGCAATTATATTATTTCCATTGGTCCTAGAGTAGCAGCAGCAGCAGTTGAAGTGAAGTCCACAGAGAGGATAAAACAAATACCCTGGTCTTTAGTGACCAAATAGATAATTCTTCCATCAGTTCCAGCAGACCACTATTGGACCAAAACCCACTGAGGAACATCTACCTTGTTATACATCATTGAACAAAGAAAAAACTAACTAGATGACAAGCTTAATGCAAAAACAAGTCTTTTTTCATAAAAACAGAGTAATTCGCCTTACATTTTACGCTGGTACTGCATGTCAAATTTTCTGCTCATTTCCCTTTGAGCTTCAGTATTTCTCTCAACCCGTTCAAGTGTAGAGGCAAGCTTCTCATTTTCATCCATTACCTCAGCTTCAAGTGCTGATAGTTGATCTCTCATTTCCTCCTGTTGTAAGGTAATAAGAGAAAGAGATTCAGTTTAATATATTCATCCCTTCTTTTCTTTTCTTAAGTGAAGCAAGGCAGGGACATGGACAGAGAAAGTTAAGGAAGCACATAAGTGAAGTTACAAACCGCAATAGTAAGCTGGTGCTCATGAGCTAGTTCAGATAAAGCACTTTCCACTAATCCCACTTTATCCATTAGATCATGTTGAAGCTCAATGCCCAGGCCTTCTTCAGAATGGTCGCTATCACTGAAACAACATGAGAAATGCTGCACTAAGGCCTCATTTGTTTGCAGTCTGAATCTTAATTATTCAGATCTCAGACATTAAGTGTTTTTGTTTTTAAAGTCTGAATCTTAATTATTCAGATCTTAATCATTAAGTGTGTTTGTTTTTTTTACTTCAAAACCACTTAATGGGTTTGAATAGGTCTGTATGATTAAGATCCATAACAGAGACTTAATAACAGTGTGTTTGTTTTTAAAGTCTGAATCTTAATTATTCAGATCTTAATCATTAAGTGTGTTTGTTTTTAAAGTCTGAATCTTAATTATTCAGATCTTAATCATTAAGTGTGTTTGTTTGTTTTTACTTCAAAACCACTTAATGGGTTTGAATAGGTCTGTATGATTAAGATCCATAACAGAGACTTAATTTCATTAAGATGCTATGATCCATATACATTATTAATTATCGCCACTGCCAACCATTATCAACTACCATCATGCCACCACCATACTCAACCACCACCACCATAATCGACTACCACCACCCGCCATCTCCACCACTCCCATCACCATCATTCTCAACCACAAACAACACTCATCCACCTCAACTACCACAACTAACCACCCCATCACCGTCAACAACTATAATCGGCACTGCCCATCATTATAAACTACCACTACCCACCACCACTTTCCTCAATCACAACTATCACCACCACCCGCCATTATTAACTATCACCACTCACCACCACCCTCCTCAATCATAATTGCCACCACTACTAATCACCACTAGCTACTACCCTGAACCACCACCATCAACCAAACCTACCACCAACCACTGCCTCTAGTCGGCATTAACAAGCACCACCCGTTAACCATCACCACCAGCAACTACTATATTTTAAAAAATTTATATATTTATTGATAGAATATTAGATTAATTAATATTTCATTTGAATTTTATGTTTATTAATTTTCAAATAAAGATAAATTTTATACATTCAAATGCTAAAAATCAAACAGTCTTAATCATTTAGTATTCAGATCTTAATACACATCTTAATATTCAGATGTGTATTCAGATTCAGATATCTTAATCTTAATACACATCTTGATATTCAAATGTGTATTCAGATTCAAACGTCTTAATCTTAAAAAAACAAATGAGGCCTAAGTATTAATCAAGAATGAAACGGAAGTTTATTATTAATAAAATAACTTCATGACGCATTTGGAAAAAAAATTATGAGGTAATATTAAGTGCTTCATTACCCCCTCCCCCCACCCCACCCNNNCCACACATACACCTATCCTCCTTATTTGGCTAAGGATGTCCTTAACTCTTGGCTCAATAAGTAAATGCTATAAACATGTAATGCCTTAAACAACTATAGAGCCAAGCAATTATGAGATGTTTAACATGGGGAAGGGCATTTGTAGCAACATATTTCATAGCTTGTTTGTCTGTTCTAAAAGACCTCCTCTCATTCTTACACTCTATAATGTTTGCAATTGTTGAGTGCTCACCTCAGATAGATTTCGTCACAGGCAAAACGTTTTCTCCCCTTAACAAAATGATCACCAACTTCATCCTTAGTGTCTCTTTCCACATCCACCACGTCGTCATCAGACACTTGCATAATAAAGCCTCTCTGAGAATTATTCTTTGAAGCCGATAGTTCTCTGAGTAAAGATAGATTAGACAATAACATAGAAAATTTACTATCCAAATGGACCTAAAATGCTTGATGTGATTTTCACTAAGAAACCTTGTTAAAGTAACATACCGAGATTCTGCTTTGATAAAAGGTAATGGAAATTTCGATGATCCATTGAGCTTCTTCTCTATCGAGTTGAGCTCGACCAGTAAAGCATCAAAGCTCCAATCAGGGTTTGGATCCAGGGTCACTCCATCAACATTTTTAGGCAACGGAAGTTGCAGTTTAACAGCACCCCTGAAGAAAATAACCATAACTCAGCACAAACCAAGCAACAAGTAGAATATTATAGTAATAGAGCTTAAAAAGAAGTTATAGTTCCAGATTTTCTATAAACTTGTTGCAATAAAGGAAAAACTGAAATGTGATATTGTTATCACTACAACTATGAGAAAGGTATTTTTTCAAACATATGCATAGAGATACATGAACCAACCCCTCCCTAAAAGAAAACTAAAAAATGGCATCAATTTTTCGTGGACTGCTACAAATAGAGAAAGAGATGGAAAAAAGGTATCAGAAAAAAGTACTTACATTATTATTTTCCTGCCTTAAGAACACGTTTAAATAAAGTTGTGTACAACGCTGGCTTCACACACTTGAGTCTTGAAATTTGAGATATAATTAATTACCTGTAACAATTGAAAAGCAAAAGTTACAAACAGAAAATGTAGAAGATCATAACATGAACACCCGTAAGGGAAATTTGAAAGCTAAACCCTAATATTACTAATACAGACAAGAGTATGAATAGAGGGGAAAAAGAAAGCACAAAAAGGGATAAAGAGGGGGCTGATTTGAGATCAAAGTTTCATTCTTTATATTAATTTTCTCCAAGATTTATTCAACAAAAGGCTCTGCTCTCTGTGAAGCGTCTACCTTTGAAGTTTTCTTGGATTTGCGGTTGTGGTTTCTTGAAATAATAGCTATAGAAATTCAATAAAATCAAATGGATTTTTTTACTATTCCGAATTGGATAAACGGAGTATTGAATAAATCATAAGCTGAGGGTATGAATTTTGAGAAATTGAAGAGGAAGCGAATCAGCGATGAAGGGCGGGAGAAAAGAAAGCTTAACGGGAAAGAGGAAGTGAAAGTGCTAAAAAGTAAAAAATGAATGTACTATGCTGATGTAGCCAAAAGGAGAAGTTTTATTTTGGGTGTTATGTCATAAAAGTATAAAATAAAAAAGTTGTTTCGTAAACTAATATCAGTTGATACACAAAATAAAATTTTCTAGCTAAAAGGTACTCCTTTAACTAAAAAAAATTGTATCTATCCATCCATCCCTCAATTTACATAAGTCTTACACCTAACTTTTCTTCATTACATCCTACTCTCAGCCTTCTCTTCGCCGTAAACTTTGTCACATGTCATGTTTTTTTAATTATTATTTTCTCTTTTATTCATTTTGACATCTTACTACAACTAATTAAAAATAACTAAATGATGGAATCATACTCGTCTCTAAATATTTTCTTATTTGATTATAATAATAATAATAATGTCCCATATTTAGACGTTAACATAGAAGCTCTCCCCCC